ATTATTATCTGGTTCTACTGGTTAGGCCTTTGCGGGTGATTATTATCCGTTTCTACTGGTTAGGCCTTTGCGGGTGATTATTATCTGGTTCTACTGGTTAGGCCTTTGCGGGTGATTATTATCCGGTTCTACTGGTTAGGCCTTTGCGGGTGATTATTATCTGGTTCTACTGGTTAGGCCTTTGCGGGTGATTATTATCCGTTTGTATTGTATTGTATTGTATTGTATTGTATTATTGTATTGTATTGTATTGTATTGTATTGTATTGTATTGTATTGTATTGTATTGTATTGTATTGTTTCTACTGGTTAGGCCTTTGCGGGTGATTATTATCTGGTTCTACCTCGGCGTGTACACGTTCACGGACAGCATAATTGAAACAACACGTTCAGGACACTGACTCGTACACAGAACCGTCACTTAAAAGATGGCTGGAGGTCAGAGGTCATAAAGGGAGACAGTTTGTCTCATCACAAACATTTATACAATGTTCAATCGTAAATAAAATTTGGATTTATGAGATTTACAAAGAATGGTCCTCCATTAGTTAATTTATTTTTTACACAATATCCCAACTTTTTCAGATTTAGGGGTTGTACTTAGTTCAAATAATTTTCCATGTAATTAAATATGTTTGTTTATTCTCTGAACAGTTACCAATTCATTTACGTAGTTTACTCTTTAACCACCAAATTTAAGCCAAATGTTAATATGTTTCAAAATATCCTGATGCATGCTCAATAATCCAGGTAGAAAAAATCCAAAAAAGTTCAGTCTGGTCCTCTGGACATTCAAAAAAACAAAAAACAAAACAAAGCAAAAAAAATCTAGAAACGTTTCGTCTCTCATCCTGAGGACTTCCTCAGTCTGAGGTGCTGTATTCAGCTCAGTCTCTTAAATAGCACCGTCTCAGAGTGGATCAACCAGTTTGCTGCTGACAACCAGAACCAGCTGATCACATGCTCAAGAAGGACCATCAGCCTAACAATGGATCATTAGCACCTGATGGCTGTTTACTACTCACAGAGGGCTGAGTGATACTAGCAATCACAGCATTGTAAGAGGGGGACAGTTGAACCTGGAGGCTCCACCCCTGTTTAATGATGGACGGTTTCTTTTCACAAAGATGGCCTCCTTTACTCCTCTCTCAAACCATCGTTCCTCTCTGTCCAGGATGTGCACATCTTCATCCCTGAAAGAGTGACCGCTGGCCTGGAGATGAGTGTAGACCTCAGAGTCCTGGCCTGATGATGTTGATCTTCTGTGCTGGTCCATCCTTTTGGCCAGTGGCTGTTTAGTTTCCCCGATGTAAGACTGATCACCCTCCTGACACTGAACAACATACACAACATTACTGTGTTTGTGCCGGGGGACTGGATCTTTGGGATGAACCAGTCTTTAATGTATTTTGGGGTTTAAAATCCACTGGGACGTTATGTTTAGAAAATAAACGTCTCAGTTTCTCTGATACTCCCTCAACATCTGGAATGACCACTGGTCTGGGTCTGGGTTCCTCCTTTTCACCTGATGGCTGACTGGTTTTGGTTGTCAGCAGCAAACTGGTTGATCCACTCTGTGAAGGTGCTATTTAAGAGACTGAGCTGAATACAGCACCTCAGACTGAGGAAGTCTCTCGGATGAGAGACGAAACGTTTCTACATTTTTTTTGCTTTGTTTTGTTTTTTGTTTTTTTGAATGTCCAGAGGACCAGATTGAACTTTTTTGGATGTTTCAAGATATTTCTTTTTAGTTTATCATCTGATAATCTGCTGTAAATTTAAGTCCTTTTATTATTTCAACCTTCATAAGTGTTCCTGTCATTTCAACAGGCTTCTGGGCCTCATAATAATTGTCTCATACGCATGGTTAAATATTAAATTACATAGTTCATGAGCTTTCATTGTGGAATAGACCAGATCCTGGTAATAATTTAATTATACATAATTATGGATTCACTGAAATTAGAGCAAATTTATTTAAATTTTAATTTAAGACCCAATAAAAAAATATATGAAAAATATTCAATGCAATAATATTTTTCCACAGATTATTTTTCTAATCCCTTGTCCTTGTGTATTAACGCGTGCTCCCACTGGGAGTTACAATAAGATTTTTATTCTCACTTGTTTGAAAAAGCTTCTAGAACGAGGTCTGTGCCGATCAACTGCAGGGGTCACCTCGGGTCAAAGCACTTCAACCACAAAGGTACAAACTGAAAGAGTGCGTTTCCACGGAACTCAATAAAATGCCGTCAAGCACCAGAGCCTTTAATCGTCAAACGTGTTGGTGTCATGAAGCAGAACATGCCAGCGCTCGGTCTTCTTGTCTTTGTTCTTGAGGCATTCGTACCAGTGCTTCAAACACTCACCTTGGGCCTGAATGCCCAACTGACAGCCACCTGAGGGCAGAGAAGGAAACGGGCGTTAATGGAGCAATCTTAAACACACAAACACTTCTCCACCTGCAGCAGCTTTGCCTGACGAGTTGGATAAACTCAAATAAGCCACTCTGAGGATACGAGAAGATTTTTCAAGCCAGTTTGTGCGGGGCAGAGTTAGCACGCAGATGTGACATGAAGCTCCGGTGGGGAGGGCTGCCCACAGACGGTGTGAAGAAGAGTCTTGTTATTATGCATGTCAGACAGAGACGTCCGTGTCCAGCCTTGAAGGTTATCAGGTGTGCAGGCTCCTCTCTGTTCAGACGAAACTACTCTCACACACATGGTTCTACATTAAGTAAACATTAGTTAGGGATAACATCCATGACCTTTACATACATTCCCCCGACGTGGCTTATCCTTATGATGGAACAACAATTACATTTCTACAAGTGTCTGGGATGATCATGCTGCTCATCCATGTTACTGTGAAGTCATCAGTACCAAACATGTGACTATCAAACACGCCAGGACACATTTCAAACACGATCTGCAACATGTGTTGACATTTTTTTATTTTTGTTTGATTCATTTACCTTTATTTATCCAGGTAGTCTCATTGAGCCACAAGAACTCGTTTTCAACAGAGACCTGTTTAGGGAGCACATGGTGGGGGTTAAGGGCCTTGCTCATGGGCCCAGGGTGGGGTGAATGAGGGTGGAGGCAGGTGGAGGTGTTTCACCTTTTCTACACACATTTTGATGTTGACGGTACCGGGAGTTGAACCTGCGACTTCCGATCACAGGCCCATCTTGTAACCTCTGCTCCACCACTCCCCCACAGACATGTGCCTGTGTTGTAAAGCTGTAGACGGACCAGGGTCCAGGCTCGGACCTCCGGTAAGTTCCACCCGATATGAAGCTGTGACATCGCTCGTTTGTTTGTTCGCACCTTTAACATGAACTTCTCATGAAGGTGATCACGTCTAAAACTGGGACTCGAGCCACGTCAACATGTCTAAAACGGCACAAGAAATCTATCTTCTCTCCAACTCCACCAGTTTTCAACTACTGAACTCAACTTTGGTGTCAGTCGCTGAGGCGGCTCACTGATCTGTACCTCCAGCACTAACTGATCACAGGAAATCTGTTTCAAACCAAGACGTGAACTTTTGAAGTAACTCATGTAGCAACATTTGTGATTCACTACATGGATCTTTACAAAGTAGAGAACCCCCACCCATCCCCATCTTGTTTCTGGGTGCCATACATGGCAGCCCTCTGCTCCACACATGTGGGCGGTGGTAGCTCAGTGGTCAGCAGTTGTGTCAAGCAGGACATCCAGTGTAGAAACAACAGCCAAATCTTCATGCAACTGGCGACACCCTGGAAAAAGGAGCAGCCGAAGGATAAAAATGTACATCTACTGTTAAATAAGTTTTGAAGGCGACCCAATATTCCAGTAGTCACCACAGCTAATCAACCATAGCCAACACAAAAATACTCTGTCACTTGTTCAGATATTGAACTGAAGGTTATTGTGAGAAGCTGAGAGTCATTCACAACTCTCACTTCACTGGTCTTTAATCACTCCAACCTGGAATCAGTCGTCTCTAGGGTCTACCAGTTTGCAGCTTTTACAACCAGGGGAAGAAACGTTTTGAACCATGTGTATTCAAATGTGGCTGAACCTTACAAGTCCCCCCATGGTCTTCCTAATCATGCATTGCTTTAACCAACACCAGCATATCCTGATGCATGCTCAAAAATCCTGGTAGAGTCTGGTCCTCTGGACATTCATAAAACAAAACAAAAAAATTGTAGAAACTCTGTACCACAGAGCAGACAGCGTCCCCACTAGCTCAGGAGCCAGGCAGAAGGAGAAATCCCACACAAGACAGGCTCTAGAGCAATGTGGATATCCTAACTGGGCCTTCCTGAAAGAAGAAACCCAAACAGGACTCCAGTCAGCCAACAGGTGAAAAGGAGGAACCCAGACCCAGACCAGTGGTCATTCCGTATGTTGAGGGGGTATCAGAGAAACTGAGACGTTTATTTTCTAAACATAACGTCCCAGTGGCTTTTAAACCCCAAAATACATTAAAGACTGGTTCATCCCAAAGATCCAGTCCCCCGGCACAAACAGAGTAATGTTGTGTATGCTGTTCAGTGTCAGGAGGGTGATCAGTCTTACATCGGGGAAACTAAACAGCCACTGGCCAAAAGGATGGACCAGCACAGAAGATCAACATCATCAGGCCAGGACTCTGAGGTCTACACTCATCTCCAGGCCAGAGGTCACTCTTTCAGGGATGAAGATGTTCACATCCTGGACAGAGAGGAACGATGGTTTGAGAGAGGAGTAAAGGAGGCCATCTTTGTGAAAAGAAATCGTCCATCATTAAACAGGGGTGGAGCCTCCGGGTTCAACTGTCCCCCTCTTACAATGCTGTGATTGCTAGTATCACTCAGCCCTCTGTGAACAGTAAACAGCCATCAGGTGCTAATGATCCATTGTTAGGCTGATGGTCCTTCTTGAGCATGTGATCAGCTGGTTCTGGTTGTCAGCAGCAAAACTGGTTGATCCACTCTGAGAAGGTGCTATTTAAGAGACTGAGCTGAATACAGCTCCTCAGACTGAGGAAGTCCTCAGGATGAGAGTCGAAACGTTTCTACATTTTTTTGCTTTGTTTTGTTTTTTGTTTTTTTGTTTTCTTGTTTTTTTGAATGTCCAGAGGACCAGATTGAACTTTTTTGGATGTAGAAACGTTTTGTCTTTCGTCTGAAAGTCTTCTTCAGTCTGAGGTAACACCAGCATACACTATTGTCAGTACTGGTCAGAGTTTAGCCTAAAGGAGCCTAAGCTACAAGCCTGTTTTGGACCAACTTGGATCTATTCAGAGATTCAACAACCCGGGGCAATCGTACATTTAAACATTTTGCATTCTCCATTTGCCTACGTCAGCTTCTGTATGAAAAATGTCACTACTACAAGAAGCATACATGCATCTCTGTTATGTGCCGGGGCACATCGGCCTTATTGTTTTGACCCTTTGGTCATGTCTTGGGTTCAGGGTTGGCTAATCAGCCTTTAATTGTTTTGTGCTGTGGCTTTTGCAGCCACACCTACTTGAGGCTCGGGGAGCTTCTTTCCCTCTCTTGGCTCTCTCTGAGGCCCACTCTGCTGTTGCTCCTCTCATGCTCCCACATGTTTGGACTTTTTCTTGGCCACCCTGGTTTTCCCAGGGCCCTTGTATGTTCATTGTCCTGGAGCTGTGGCCAGCTGTCGGTGACCCCAGCCACTTCAGGTAATTTTTGTTAACGTTTTGTATATTTGTTGTAACTTGGGCCTGGTGGGACCGGTTGTCCTGTTTTCACGCTTTTCTTGTGTAATAAGTGTTTTTGTAGTTTTTTTCTAGTTTTAGTCTGGTACCAGCAGCGCTTCGATGGCCCTGTATAGGGTTGGCACGCCGCAGTACCTTTTTGTTCTGTTTGACCGGGTCACCAGGTCCAGTTTGACGTTGATACTTTGGGCTTTTGTGTTTCTTGGGTGGACAAGGGACTTAGGGGTTCATTATAATGTTTTTCCCTGCAGGAAGCAGCAGCTTTATAAACTGAATATTTGAACCCATATTTGTGTCTCGTGTCCTCCTTTAATATGTTGTGCCCTTGGTGGACGTAACAGTCTCCATCATCGGGATATTTCTCGGTGGCCTGGCCGTTCACTGAGGGGGACAAAAGCCTTGGGTCCTGTCACGCTTGATTATTTAAAATAAAGCTGCTCATGCAGCATGGATAGTTTATTTAAACTATTACAGTATTTAAATTGTTTATATACACAGGAGGAGGGAGACTGGGAGTGATGAGCACAAGTGTGATTGCAGTGAGAAGTGGGCGTGGCAGACAGCAGAGATCATGACACGCTGCAGGAGGGAGCTTCTCCCTGCACCCGTGGGCTGCACACAGGTGCAGGAAACTGAATGTTAGGAAACTCCTTGTAACTGTGACTTTCCTTCCCTCCATTGATTACGGTGACATTATCTACATGAACGCTCCTACAAGCACCTGCAGATGTTGGATGCTGCAGATGTTGGATGCTGCAGATGTTGGATGCTGCAGATGTTGGATGCTGTCTATCATGGTGCACTAAGATTCATAACTGGCTGTGATTACCGTACCCACCACTGCACCCAGTATTCACTGGTTAACTGGTCACCATTAACTTCACACAGACTCTCTCACTGGTACATCTTCATCTTTAAATCACTTCCTGGTCTGCTGCCTTCATACATCTCCTCCTACATGTCTCTGTGTGAGTGCAGCTACAGCGTGCGCTCTCAGGACATCATTACCTGCAGTGTTCCCTCAGTGAGGACTGAACTAGACAAAAGGACCTTCTCCTACTCCGCTCCTGTTTCCTGGAATATCTTGTAAAAACATCTGAAGCTCTCGAAGTGGCTTCAAACATCTGTTCAGTTCCTGCAGATGTTCCTGTTTTTAGTTTTCTACACGTCTTATAATCTAGATGTTTGTTACATGTTGTTATGGGGCGGCTGTGGCTGAGTGGTTAGAGCAGTCGTCCTCCACTGCAAGAGTTTGGGGTTCGAATCCACCAGCAGTCACATGCTGAAGTGTCCCTGGGCAAGACACTGAACCCCTCACTGCCTCCGACGTGTGTCCCATCAGTGTCTGAATGTGATAAAGCTCTGATTGGTCTCTTTAGAATGATTTGTTCAGTTAGCTTTGTGGAGATCTAGTATAGAGCTATATGAATGGGTCAATGAGGCACAGATTGTTGTAAAGCACTTTGAGTATCTTGAAATAAGATAGAAAGGCGCTGTATAAGTACAGTCCATTTACCATTTACAGTTTTTAATACCATTTTCTTTCATTTGTTCTTGTCGATTTGTTTGTACGCATCCTTTGATTGTCCACTGTTGTCATCACTCTGTTAAATCAAGTCTCTCTTGTAAATGAGTCCCTGAGGCTCAGTGGGACCAACCTGTAGAAATAAAGGTTGAATGAAAATTAGAAACTGTGCTTGCAAGTCAATATCCAGACTTACCAATAAAATCATTGGATTTTCCCATGTCATAGTCCCAAACTGACACATCCAGAGTTTTCTTGGCGAGGTCAGCGTGCATTATTTCATAACTAAACTCCTAAAACACAGTAAAAAAAAGAGACTAATTACAGTTGGGAATAAAATGGGAGCGAGCAGGCAGTACCAAGCCGGTGTAGAAAGAGCTGACCTCGTTAAACTCTGGGTTGAGGGTCTTCTTTTTCATCTGCGTCTTGTTTTTGGCTTTTTTTCCCATGTCAGGTTTCAGACATCTGTGGCACAAAAAGCAGACTTTCCTCACTACAGAAGCTAATCATTTACGTGAGGTTGAGCACGACTCTCATACATTTTGACAAATGGGTCCGAGTATCCGTTGGAGTCCATGGCAGCCAGGTGCGCACAGCGAACGATGCCCACGATCAGACGGCAGTGCTGACTGTTGTACATCAGTGATATCAGGATGCGGCCCCTGTCCTCCGAGTCCTCACCTTTGTTCAGCTGCACGCACATACGTGCACGTTACACACTCATGGCTTGCACACACAAACATCCCCACACACACAAACTGAGTGATGCTGTGTGCCTTTTTCTCCAGTCATATCTCAATCAGTAACCCCAAAATAATATTTTGGTACAGTTGTAATAAGATCGTGCACATGTTCATGTGATGTTCAAGCTCAAAGTGACAATGAAGTTACTCCACATTTGTTGCTTCTAAATATAAATTCACTAAATACTTGCACTGAGTTGCAAAGCTTTTCCCTGCCTGCCCTCTTTTTATACTGTTGCCTTACAACCTAGAACTTAAATGGACTTTCTAAAATATAATTGTCTAGAACCTCCTTCTTCCACCTGCGTAATATCACTAACATTAGAAACATCTAAAGATGATGCAGAAAAACTGGTCCATGCATTTGTCACGTCTAGACTGGACTATTGCAATGGTTTATTATCTGGGTGTCCAAATACTTCTTTAAAACGTCTTCAGTTGATCCAAAATGCTGCTGCCAGAGTCTTAACTGGAGTTACTGGGAGAGATCACATCTCTCCAGTTTTAGCTTCTCTCCATTGGCTCCCTGTCAAATCCAGAATAGAATTCAAAATCTTACTTCTAACCTACAAAGCTCTCAACAACCTAGCTCCATCTTATATTACAGATCTTATTGGTCCATATTTTACTAACAGAGCACTTCACTCTCAGACTGCAGGTTTACTTGTGGTTCCTAGAGTTTCCAAAATCAGAATGGGAGGAAGATCTTTCAGTTCTCAGGCTCCTCTCTTGTGGAACCAACTTCCAGTTTCTCTCCATGAGACTGACACATTGTCCAGTTTGAAGACTGGGATTAAGACTTTCCTTTATTATAAATCCTATAGTTAGGGTCGGCTTGTTATGCTGCTATAGACTTAGACTGCTGGAGGACAAATTGACCTCATTTCCTTAAATGAATTGTTAAAATTGAATAGTTTTCATTTGATACTATTTCTATCTCAACATGTGATTCTTGACCTGCCATTGTGTATCTGTTCCTACCAAACCCAGCCGGTGGAAGCAGATGGTCCTCTTGTCCTGATCCTGGTTCTGCTAAAGGTTTCTTCCTCATGAGTGAAAACGCGGGCCAGGCTGGGCCAAATTAATGTGCTGGATTGGCGGGCCGGGTCCATGTCAGGCTTTTGATTGTGTCAGCGGACGTGCACGGCCATTTGACCATTAATAACTATAATAATATAATATCTATAATAATCTGCTGATTCTTGTTAATAACAAGAAATCTTATATCTTCCTTTCTTTAAAATAATTTTTAAATCATGTCAAACTGATTTGCTTACAAAAACAGTAAAAGCTTAATTTAAAAAGTCAGTTTTTTTGTTTTTTTTCTGTTTTCCGGGTTGGGGCCTGTAATCACAGTTAATTTGTCGGTTCCGGGTCGGGCTCGAAAAAATTATATGGATTCGGGCTGGATGCAACTCTAGTGTGATTTTATATTTTCTTATTAACCTTTATTTAATCTTTATTTAACCTTTATTTAACCTTTACCTTTATTTAACCATTATTTAACCTTTACCTTTATTTAACCTTTATTTAACCTTTACATTTATTTAACCTTTATTTAACCTTTATTTAACCTTTACCTTTATTTAACCATTATTTAACCTTTACCTTTATTTAACCTTTATTTCACCTTTACCTTTATTTAACCTTTATTTCACCTTTACATTTATTTAACCTTTATTTAACCTTTACATTTATTTAACCTTTATTTCACCTTTACCTTTATTTAACCTTTATTTAACCTTTACATTTATTTAACCTTTATTTAACCTTTACCTTTATTTAACCTTTATTTAACCTTTACCTTTATTT